GGTTCATAGAGGCACCGATCAGCCATAGTCCATTCAAAAAAAAGGGAGATTCATTCATTAAAAAAGGAATCCAAATCATAAAATTTGATCAGAAAGGCCTGACAAAGGCCCAGGTTTTAGGGTGACAGAAAAGGAGTCCCAGGGGTCAGCAGGCACCATCTAGGCACCACTTGAGGATACTCAAACAGGGAGGAGGAACACATACATCAATTCTGAGTGGAACTGCGAGACCGCAAAAAAGCTTTGGTATCCACAAAGGTCTTTTATGATGGGAAAAAAGATGGATTTTGGAGGGCACAGGGATCCTTTCTGCAAAAAGTGAGATAGCAGTCAACCTTAGAATTAGACAAGGAAGAAAATAGCATTGGTCTGGAAGAGATCGGTTAAGTCATGAATATGGAAACCTGGGTGGAATTCTGTATCTGTGGTTTGAGGGACTCTTGAAGCGTCCCTACGGAGCCTGCGAAGCTTCACGGCTCAGGAGAGAGAAGGTTCATATGTTAAAGACAAAGAAAGACACAATATATCATGCAGAGAGCTGAAAGTTAGGAAAGAGCAACTTTTTATTAAGGGCTTTGTTACGAAGTGGCCAGGGGAGTCTGAAAGGGAGGAAAAAGAGGAATTCTTATTGCAGCTGGTGCAAATGCCTTGGTTGGATTTCAGAAGTGGTGAGATTCAGGAACTGCGGAACTCCCTGCTGCAACTGTCAATGGCTAGATCAACTTGAAAGCAGGGGTCCTCATATTCGGTGACAATGTCAAAGGGCAGCTCCATTCATCTTGATCCAATTTCAGATGCTCAGGCTATTTGGCCTCTCCCTTCCATTCTGGAACTATAGAAATGTAACTGTTTGGAAATGAACAGTTTGGGTTTTGTTAGATATTAAAATCATACTATTAATAAGAGTAAGATTTCTGTTACAGAATACACGTTGAATATTGATTAATGCCACCAATTATGTTAGGGCATTATTGGTTTTTGGGGTTTTTTAAAAACAAGGTTAGGTTAGGTTAGTCTAATTCAGGGGTCCTCAAACTTCTTAAACAGAGGGCCAGATCACAGTCCCTCAAACTGTTGGAGAGCCGGATTATAATTTGAAAAAAACATGAATTGCTATGCACACGGCACATATCTTATTTGTAGTGTAAAAAACACTTTAAAACAATACAATATTTTAAATGAAGCACAATTTTAACAAATATAAACTTATTAGTATTTCAATGGGAAATGTGGGCCTGGTTTGGCTAATGCAGTGGTTCTCAACCTTCCTCAACATTGACAAGCTGGAATGCGTCCAGAGGAGGGCGACTAAAATGATCAAGGGTCTGGAGAACAAGCCCTATGAGGAGCGGCTTAAGGAGCTGGACATGTTTAACCTGAAGAAGAGAAGGCTGAGAGGAGATACGATAGCCATGTATAAATATGTGAGAGGAAGCCACAGGGAGGAGGGAGCAAGCTTGTTTTCTGCTTCCCTGGAGACTAGGACACGAAACAATGGCTTCCAACTACAAGAAAGGAGATTCCATCTGAACATGAGGAAGAACTTCCTGACTGTGAGAGCCGTTCAGCAGTGGAACTCTCTGCCCCGGAGTGTGGTGGAGGCTCCTTCTTTGGAAGCTTCTAAACAGAGGCTGGATGGCCATCTGTCAGGGGTGATTTGAATGCAATATTCCTGCTTCTTGGCAGAATAGGGTTGGACTGGATGGCCCTTGAGGTCTCTTCCAACTCTTTGATTCTATTATTCTATGATTCTATGATCCTAATGCCGCGACCCCTTAATACAGTTCCTCATGTTGTGGTGACCCCCAACCAGCTAATTATTTTCATGACAACTTCACAACTGTAATTTTGCTACTGTTATGAAGCATAATGTAAATACCTGATATGCAGGATGTATTTTCATTCACTGAACCAAATTTGGCAGAAAAACCCGATACACCCAAATTTGAACACTGGTGGCATTGGGCGGGGGATTGATTTTGTCATTTGGGAGTTGTAGTTGCTGGGATTTATAGTTCACCTACAATCAAAGAACATTCCAAACTCCACCAATGATGGAATTGAACCAAACTTGGCACACAGAATTCCCATGACCAACAGGAAATACTGGAAGGGTTTGATGGGCATTGACATAAGTTTTGGAGTTGTAGTTCACCTACATCCTGAGAGCACTGTGGACTCAAACAATAATGGATCTGGACCAAATTTGGCATGACAATCAATATGCCCAAATGTGAACTCTGCTGGAGTTTGGGGGAAATAGACCTTGACATTGGGAGTTGTAGTTACTGGGATTTATAGTTCACCTACAATCAAAGAGCATTCTGAACCCCACCAATGATGGAATTGAACCAAACTTGGCACACAGAATTCCCATGACCAACAGAAAATACTGGAAGGGTTTGATGGGCATTGACCTTGAGTTTTGGAGTTGTAGTTCACCTACATCCCGAGAGCACTGTGGACTCAAACAATAATGATCTGGACCAAATTTGGCATGACAATCAATATGCCCAAATGTGAACTCTGCTGGAGTTTGGGGAGAATAGACCTTGACATTGGGAGTTGTAGTTACTGGGATTTATAGTTCACCTACAATCAAAGAGCATTCTGAACCCCACCAAGGTTAGAATTGGGCCAAACTTCCCACACAGAACCCCCATGACCAACAGAAAATACTGTGTCTTTGGCGACCCCTCTGACACCCCTCGTGACCCCTCCAGGGGTCCTGACCCCCAGGTTGAAAAACGCTGTGCTAATGAGATAGGATTGTTGTTGTTGTTGTGTGCTTTCAAGTCATTTCAGACATAGATTGACCCTGAGTGAGGGCCAGGTAAATGACCTTGGAGGGCCGTATCCAACCCCTGGGCCTTATTTTGTGGACACCTGGTCTAATTTATATCATGTTAGAATTTTTGGTTTTGGTTCTGAAGTGTGGTTGTTTCTGAAAGTTTCATGTATTTAAGACCATTTATGTTAAGAAAAATATTTTAGCAAAAAGGGCCTCTCTACCACATTCTAGAACTATTTTGGCAGCTGCTTCTGCATCAAACTGCAGAGGTGGATGAAGTATGGTTCTTTTTGACACAGGATCAAGGATCTGGAGAACAAGCCCTATGAGGAGCGGCTCAAGGAGCTGGGCATGTTTAGCCTGAAGAAGAGAAGGCTGAGAGGAGATATGATAGCCATGTATAAATATGTGAGAGGAAGCCACAGGGAGGAGGGAGCAAGCTTGTTTTCTGTTTCCCTGGAGACTAGGACGCGAAACAATGGCTTCAAACTACAAGGAAGGAGATTCCATCTGAACATGAGGAAGAACTTCCTGACTGTGAGAGCCGTTCAGCAGTGGAACTCTCTGCCCCGGAGTGTGGTGGAGGCTCCTTCTTTGGAAGCTTTTAAACAGAGGCTGGATGGCCATCTGTCAGGGGTGCTTTGAATGCAATATTCCTGCTTCTTAGGCAGAATGGGGTTGGACTGGATGGCCCATGAGGTCTCTTCCAACTCTTTGATTCTATGATTCTATGATTCTATGATCCTAATGCCGCAACCCCTTAATACAATTCCTCATGTTGTGGTGACCCCCAACTAGCAATTATTTTCATGACAACTTCACAATTGTAATTTTGCTACTGTTATGAAGTGCTTTGAATGCAATATTCCTGCTTCTTGGCAGAATGGGGTTGGACTGGATGGCCCATGAGGTCTCTTTCAACTCTTTGATTTTATGATTCTAGGAGTCCATTCTTTCTTCCTGTTTTCTGCCCTTCAAAGAAGGCACAGATCATATCTTTTCTCTCATGCTCTGTTTCACTTTGCACATTAAGAGACCAAAGAGGCTGGCACTTCCAGGAACAAAAACAACAGCTGTTTTAGATCTGGTTTTTGTACTGAAGTGTATCACTGTGTAGAGGGAAGCTGGCACCTTGGCCACAGTAATACTCCCCTTCATCCTCAGGGCGCACACCATTGATAGTGAACGTGTAGTCAGTGCCACTGCCACTGCCACTGAAGCGATCTGGGGTCCCTCCAAAACGGTTGCTAGTGCTATAAATCAGTAGCTTGGGTTTTTGTCCTGGTATCAACTGATAGAAATGCATATAACCGCTGACTGAAGATGAAGCTTTGCACTGAACGTCAATTCTGTCCCCAGGATTTTTGTGCAAAAAGGCCGGCGTCTGAGTGATCACAATTTCTCCACTTGACTCTAGAAGGAGAAAAATTGAGCATGTTAATCAAAGGATAATTTTTGCTTAGGATTTGAGAAGGAACAGACTCTTATAAACCTACCTTTAAAGATACACCAGACGAGACAGATCAAAAACATTTGTAACATGATGCTGCTGTTAATTCAACAATTTCTCCAGTATCCCAGAAAATCTTGAAAGAGTTCCTATCTTTACTTTGAGAAGGTTAAAGGAGAGGATTTATGAAGTGTCAGGTATGGAAATCTATGCAAATCTTCTGGGAATGGAAACAAAACCAATGACTCATAGAATCATAGAATCATAGAATCAAAGAGTTGGAAGAGACCTCATGGGCCATCCAGTCCAACCCCCTGCCAAGAAGCAGGAATATTGCATTCAAATCACCCCTGACAGATGGCCATCCAGCCTCTGTTTAAAAGCTTCCAAAGAAGGAGCCTCCACCACACTCCGGGGAAGAGAGTTCCACTGCTGAACGGCTCTCACAGTCAGGAAGTTCTTCCTCATGTTCAGATGGAATCTCCTCTCTTGTAGTTTGAAGCCATTGTTCCGAGTCCTAGTCTCCAAGGAAGCAGAAAACAAGCTTGCTCCCTCCTCCCTGTGACTTCCTCTCACATATTTATACATGGCTATCATATCTCCTCTCAGCCTTCTCTTATTCAGGCTAAACATGCCCAGCTCCTTAAGCCGCTCCTCATAGGGCTTGTTCTCCAGACCCTTGATCATTAGTCGCCCTCCTCTGGACACATTCCAGCTTGTCAATATCTCTCTTGAATTGTGGTGCCCAGAATTGGACACAATATTCCAGGTGTGGTCTAACCAAAGCAGAATAGAGGGGTAGCATTACTTCCCTAGATCTAGACACTATGCTCCTATTGATGCAGGCCAAAATCCCATTGGCTTTTTTTGCCGCCACATCACATTGTTGGCTCATGTTTAACTTGTTGTCCACGAGGACTCCAAGATCTTTTTCACACGTACTGCTCTCGAGCCAGGCGTCCCCCATTCTGTATCTTTGCATTTCATTTTTTCCCAAAGTGGAGTATCTTGCATTTGTCACTGTTGAACTTCATTTTGTTAGTTTTGGCCCATCTCTCTAATCTGTCAAGATCGTTTTGAATTCTGCTCCTGTCCTCTGGACTATTGGCTATCCCTCCCAATTTGGTGTCGTCTGCAAACTTGATGATCATGCCTTCTAGCCCTTCATCTAAGTCGTTAATAAAGATGTTGAACAGGACCGGGCCCAGGACGGAACCCTGCAGCACTCCACTCGTCACTTCTTTCCAGGATGAAAAGAAGTGACAAGTGGAGTGCCGCAGGGTTCCGTCCTGGGCCCCGTCCTGTTCAACATCTTTATTAATGACTTAGATGAAGGGCTAGAAGGCATGATCATCAAGTTTGCAGACGACACCAAATTGGGAGGGATAGCCAATAGTCCAGAGGACAGGAGCAGAATTCAACTCCCCCGATAAGAATGTTATACTTCTTGAGAAAATTCAGAAACACCTGCGTGAGGCTTTCAAACTGATCAAGTCTCAGGAAGGACCTCAACAGAACAATCTCAGTCAAGGAGAACAATTTGTCACCACAAGATCAGAGCTATTCAATGGCATGAGTAGTTAATATTTCCCTTTGTGGGAAAGCTTGATTCCACAACCCCTGTTTTAATGAGCCCTCCTCCGCAAATAACCTGCTTCTCCTTATCTCACTCAAGTTTTTAATCAGTTTTAATTAGTTTTCTTTTAATCGTTACATGTAGCCCGCCCATTGTGATTGTGATTGTGTTTATTGTAATTTTATATCGTTATGTATTCATATGTGTTACGTAATTATGATGTTGTTGTTGTTTTTTTTATCATGTCATCAGCAACCATACCATTGTATTACAATTCTAACAGAGCAAAACAAACACACAGATTAAAAAGAAAAAGAAAAAAAACACACAGATTTTGCAAATTTGGTAGTTGGTTAAATGTCCTTTGACCAGTATCTGGCCACTTGGAGTGCCTCTGGTGTTGCCGCAAGAAGGTCCTCCATTGTGCATGTGGAAGGGCTCAGGGTGCATTGCAGCAGGTGGTCAGTGGTTTGCTCTTCTCCACACTCGCATGTCGTGGATTCCACTTTGTGGCCCCATTTCTGAAGGTTGGCTCTGCATCTCGTGGTGCCAGAGCGCAGTCTGTTCAGCGCCTTCCAAGTCACCCAGTCCTCTGTGTGCCCAGGGGGGAGTGTCTCATCTGGTATCAGCCATTGGTTGAGGTGCTGGGTTTGAGCCTGCCACTTTTGAACTCTCACTTGCTGAGGTGTTCCAGCGAGTGTCTCTGTAGATCTAAGAAAACTATGTCTTGATTTAAGTGATGATGTGCTAGCTGATATCCAAACAGGGGATGAGCTGGAGATGTCTCTGCCTTGGTCCTTTCACTATTGGCTGCTACTTCCCGGCGGATGTCAGGTGGTGCAATACCGGCTAAGCAGTGTAATTTCTCCAGTGGTGTAGGGCGCAGACACCCCGTGATAATGCGGCATGTCTCATTAAGAGCCACATCCACTGTTTTAGTGTGGTGAGATATGTTCCACACTGGGCATGCGTACTCAGCAGCAGAGTAGCATAGCACAAGGGCAGATGTCTTCACTGTGCTTCTTGTAGGTCAGAGCATGGTCCAAAGTGACTCCCAGGTATTTGGGTGTGTTGCAATGCTCCAGTGGGAGTTTATTGTTTGTGTTTTTGGTTTTATTCTGCTGTAAGTTGTTGTCTGGGTTTGGCCTCTTGTAAGCCTCCCCGAGTCCCCACAAAACCCTTCTAGTGTTTTCTGTTGATCATGGGAGTTCTGTGTCCCAAAGAGTGGTTCAATTTCATCATTGGTGGAGTTCAGAATGCTCATTGATTGTGGGTGAATATAAATCCCAGCAACTACAACTCCCAAATTACAAAATCATTTTTTTGAGTGAAGGACATACATTGGGTTGTTAGGTGTCTTGTGTCCAAATTTGGTGTCATTTTGTCCAGTGGTTTTTGAGTTATGTTAATCCCACAAACGGCCCTCCAACAGTTTGAGGGCCTGTGACTTGGCCCTCTGTTTAAAAAGTTTGAGGACCCCTGATATACGCAAAAACACATATATACATATAGGTTAAGGTTTTCCCCTGACATTAAGTCCAGTTGGGTTGTTGTAGGTTTTTCCGGGCTATACGGCCATGTTCTGGAGGCAATTTTTCTCCTGACGTTTCGCCTGCATCTATGGCAAGCACCCTCAGAGGTAGTGAGGTCTGTTGGAAGTAGGAAAAATGGGTCCTACTTCCAACAGACCTCACTACCTCTGAGGATGCTTGCCATAGATGCAGGCGAAATGTCAGGAGAAAAATTGTCTCCAGAACATGGCCATATAGCCCGGAAAAACCTACAACAACTCAGTGATTCCGGCCATGAAAGCCTTCGACAATACGTTAAGTCCAGTTGTGTCCAAATCTGGGCGTTGGTGCTCATTTCCATTTCCATATGTGTATACACACACAAAAAACACATATATACACACGCATATATACACATATATACACACAAAACACATATACACAGACTGGGCCACAGCAACACATGGCGGGGGATTGCTAGTAGAGAAATTAGGATGCCACCAGTGGCATGTCATGGGAAGAGTAGGATTTGGGTATAATCTTAATCTGCCCCAGTTTTCTCTCTCAGCTGACCCTGCATAAAATGTCATAATAAAATGTCACACAGAGACATCACTGGAGAGAGAAAACAATATACTCCTTGGGGCTAATCTACATGAACCACAAAATCCAAGGCTAGTCTTAAATGGCAATGTTTTGGATCAGTTTTGGGGCAATTGTACTGCCCACCTCTCTCCCATTGTGGCAGTGGGTCAGAGCCCAGACTGTCCAGTTGGTTCAAAACCAGTTTGGCCTTGCTAGGCATTTCTCTTTCTCACAATGGTAGCATTCTGAAAGTGCATTATAAGGGCCCTAAATCCCAGCAATGTTCTGCTAACTTGTGTAAAACTAAATATGGATTTATCCTGTATTATGGGCCAGAGGTCCCTGGATGTCATCTACTGGCTTCCTCTACTCTGCTCACAAGGAATTAACAAAAAAAAAAAAAAAAAACCAAACCAAAAACATAAAACTGCAATTATTACACATGAACCCATAAGAGAGCACATATAATGGAATCCACATTAAAAATAAAGAAAAAGGAGTAAAAAATAAAAAGGAAAGACAAAAACTCTTCTGAAAACTCTTCTGTATTTATGTATTTTATCTTTTTACAATTTAGCTGTAAATCGCCTAGAGCATTCTCGGATGGAGGTCGATCAATAAGTAATTAAATATGATGATGATGATGGTGATGGTGATGAAAAAGAGAAGCTCTTCTTTTAGTTAATTACTAGCTGTCCCCTGCCACGCGTTGCTGTGGCCCAGTCTGTTGATCTGGAAAATAAAGTAATGAGGAAGTGTTGGTTTCTAATATATGTAATTTCTTTCTGCTTGTGGGTAAACAGTATTTCTTGCTGTTTCTTTGTCAATCTTTGTGGAGATTGTCTGGTTTGCCTACTCGAGAATATGCAACATATCATAGTCCTTCTTTAAGGGTCCCTTTCAAATCTATGATACTATATTTCTGTGTGTATGAATAATATCTATCTATCTATCTATCTATATTTATGGCTGGATGGCTCTTTGTCAGGAGGGCTTTGATTATGTTTTCTTGCCCTGATGAAGGGAGCTGGATTGGATGGCCTTAAGTATTTTCTGTTGGTCATGGGTGTTCTGTGTGGGAAGTTTGCCCGATTCTGTCATTTGTGGGGTTCAGAATGCTCTTTGATTGTAGGTGAACTGTGAATCCCAGTGACTACAACTCCCAAATGTCAAGGTCTATTTCCCCCAAACTCCATCTGTGTTCATATTTGGGTGTATTGAGTGCTTGTGCCAAGTGTGGTCCAGATCCATCATTGTTTGAGTCTGTAGTGGTCTCTGGATGTAGGTGAACTACAACTCCAAAACTGAAGGTCAATGGCCCACCAAACCCTTCCAATATTTTCTGTTGGTCAGGGGATTCCTGTATGCCAAGTGTGGTTCAATTCCATCGTTGGTGGAGTCCAGAATGCTCTTTGATTATAGGTGAACTATAAATCCCAGCAACTACAACTCCCAAATGACAAAATCATAATTT